ATCTCTCCAGGCCCCAGCCTCTTATTTTTAAATATGAAATTATTTGTCTGTGTGTGGATTTGTGCTCATGAGTGCAGATGCCTTCAGAGACCAGAGGCATCAGATCCCCCAGAGTTGGCTACTGCTGCTTGTGAGCTGGGAACTGAACTCAGGTCGTCTGCAAGAGCATGAAATACTTAAGAATTTCTTTGTATATATACCTCTATGTATTCCAGTTGCCTAAGAACAACACATAATTGCAACTCAACATCAGGAAATTTAACATTGGTGTGGTATCTATTCCACAGTCTATATTAAAATTTCATCAAATATCAAACTTTTTTTTCCTGCCCAAGATCTAATTTAGGATCCTAAGTCATATTCACATCTTTTGTCCTTCAAATCTCCATTAATCTGTAGCAGATCTTGTGTCTTCGGCCCTTGGCATCTTGAGAAACACAAGCCAATAATTATGTTGCTTGATTCTTAGTGTGGGTGTGTTTGACGTAGATTGCGCACTCTGGCCAATGCCCTGGTGGCATCATAAGTTGCTTTCCTAGAGCATTTTGGACCCTGTGTCAGTTGGTGCTCCTGTAAGACAGAAAAGATTTAGCCAGCCCTGACTACTAAAGAGAGCTGGTGGAGCTGTGTGGGTTGGACCTGTGTCCATCCTTTTTCACTCTGCTACCCTCCGTGCATTGTTAATTGAAAGTGACAAGAGGCTTGATGAAGAATGGAGAGAACTAAAGTCATTTTCTGTGTTCGTCTTCACAAGGCCAACTTATGCAGTAGAAAGAGAACAAACTATAATTAATGTCTACGCACCATCCTGCCACATGTGATGGATAGTTTCAAGACTGTGTCCCCAGAAGCACAACTTGAGACAAAGGTTTGGGTTGAAGTTTGTTGAGGGAATGGATCCCAGGAAGCACCAGTCAGGGAATTCAGAGCAAAGCAAGGACAAGGTGCGAAGCTGGGGCTGGTTGATCTCAGGCAGCCAGGGCTTGGTCCTCTGGAGACATCTAGGGCTACCGTGTCATGAAGGATGAAGATGCTGAAGGTTATGAGGCAAGCTCTGAAGGCTACTCCCCCACATCTGTGCAGACTATGCATGGTGGGAAGCCCTTGGCAGGGTTTCAGATGCTGACTGCTTGCACAGGGAGAGGACGTGAAGGGAGGCTGTGGGCAGAGCCTGGCAGCACTTGCATTCCCTTCAACCACAGTGGGCATTCCTTTCCATGAACACTGGGCCCCCTCACTTGCTGTCTTGTTCATACCTGTCATGCCATGGAGAGAGATGGATTACTCTACACAGCAAGCCCACTTCCTTTTCTGCTACTTCTTTTATGCTGATTCTATTTCAACGCCTATCGCCTAAGGCCACAGCCTTTCATTGAGAAAGTGGTATTTGCTTCCTTACCCCTTTCTTTCCTGTGTTTCCTCCATGTAGGTGGGGATACATGGCAGCGAGTATGTGGGTCTGAGGCAGCTGGGCAGGCTCTGGCTCTGGTCCATGTGACAGTCACAGGTTACTGACACCTTTCTAAACCTCAGTTTCCTCATGGCAAGCTGGAGATGGGATAGCCACCTCAGAGTTGCATAAGTAGGATTAAATAAGACTTTATATATAAACATCCAGCTGTGGGAATGACTTTTACAATATGGACATACGCTGGACAAATGACTTTTACTTAACCTTACAACCAAAGAGTTAATCTTAGTTTGTTTATAATGTACACAAGTCTACTAGGCTTTGAGCTCTTCTTGTAACCTAAAACTTATTGCTCATGATTCTTTCTTGCCCTTAATCCAGGACAATTATGTGTGGGTGTTTTACATATCAAATGATTGCTTATATTGAAAGCAATGAGATAATTATTCCATTTGTGTAGTAAACAATAGATGAAATTAAATTAATAACATCTGTTTCTGGTTATGTGTGTTATTCTGGATCAGTAGGGGTCATCTGGTACAAACTCCTTTGATAAGGGTCCAATTTTTTTACTTCCCCATTTCGTGCCAGATATACTATTGCAATAAAAGAGCAAGGCCTCTGTTCGAGAACACACTTCTGAGAGTAATCTGAAGAAACTGGGTGCTCAGAGCAGTTTGGGTTCCCTTTTGGGGATGCTAAGAGTCAAACTGTTTTTTTCAGGGATAGCTATAATGTGGCATCGAGTAACTAACCACAACATCCAACTTCTACTTGATGGTAGTTCTGAAAAATAATGCTTATAAATTGGCCTGCCTAGTGCCTGGCACAGTACCTGTTTGATAAATGGTAAATGTTTACAATTCAGAATTGGCAAATTTTCCTTCCTTCCCTCCCTCCGCCCCTCCCTCCCTCCCTTCCTCCTCTCATTATGGAGCCTAGACTGGACATGAACTCATGATTCTCCTGCCTCTGCCTTCTGAGTGCTAGGATGACAGGTGTGCACCACCACACCAAGCTCAATGTATACTTTCTAAATGTGTTTACATTATAAAGGGTACTAGAGACTGAACAGCTAGGCAAATGCTCTAATACTGAACTGTATCTCAAGCCTTCTTTTTATTTTTATTTTAAAAATTTTAATTTTTCCTTAATTTTTTCCTATACTTTCCTACATATATATACACTAAATTTTAGTCATTTTCACCCATTACCCCCTATACCTCCCTCTCTCTCCAGCTGAATCCTTTCTTCCTTACAAGTCCCCCCACCCCAGACTTTCATGTCTTTCTTTGTGTTATCCATTGAGTTTAATTGGGGTTGCTTGCCTGAGCATGGCTAGCAGACCATTTAACGGAAGCACAGGCAACTTATCACTGACCACGATATCTAAGAAAGTGATGGCCTTTCCCCAGCAACCCTTGACTATCAACAGCCCTCCTGGGAGGGGTGGAACCCTTAACTGTCAATAGTCTTCCCCATTTTGTGATGGAATGTTGACAGGCCCACTCTAGTGCAGGAAGTTTAACTTTGAGGCAGAGCCTACTAAATCCTTCATCCTGGCCCTGAACTCACTCTCTAGTTCAGGCAGTTGGTGAACTTTGGATCCTCCTTTTGAGCCTTCCTAGTGCTGGGCTTACAGGCCTGTGCCTCCAGGCCCAGCTAACACCTTTGTTGCACTTAGGAACATTAAGAGCACCTCCGGCTGTGTTTGTGGGTGGAACAAGAACGTTATATGTTGCCTTGCTCAGTCTCCACTGGAAATGTACGCGTTAAGTTATAAACATGTCTGTGATTGAATGGCAGAAGGGCTGAAGTTTTGATTTGGGGGTTATAAGTGAATTTTAGTATGCGGGCAAATCTATAAATATGGCATCTGTGAATAAAGAGGATCAATTGAGATCAGTAAGTCAAATATTCCCTGAGCATGAAAATGTAAGGTTTACCCCTGGACTTTGCATGTGCAGACACTTTTACTTTTATTTTGTCTTAATTTTTCTAGTTAAGTCTTTAATCATTCGACTGTCTTCATGAATACATAATAAATATAAAAACATTCAAATGATACAGTTATAAAGAATGAAAAGTAAAGGTGATTCAAGTTTTTTCTTCAGTCAATATTTCTTGTGATTCTTTTGAGATTTAAACACATGTGTCTATGCCCCCAAACATACCATCTTCAAAATGAATGGGCCACAGGAGAACTTGTATGCAGATGTTTATAGCAGTTTTATTCATAATGGCCCAAACTTTAAAACAAACAGGCTTATCTCTCCATTCAGTAGGTGGGAGAAATGACCACAGTAGGATAGATGAGCCATATTGCATTCAGACACTGGGATACTACTCAGCTCTAAAAAGAAATGAGCTAAGAAAGCACAAGAAGATGTGGAGGAACTGCAGAGCATGTATGTAACATGTGAAATGGATGCATCCCGCAGGACTGTGACTCTTTGACACTTAAGAAAGGCAAAAGTGTGGGGGCAACAAAATGGCCAGTCATCAGGAGGTGGAGGAGGGAGGGCTGAATAGATGAAGGACAGGAGCGTTTTAGAGCAGTGAGACTAATCAGTATGATCCTATGTGTGTCATTATACACATGTCCAAACCCACAGAGTGTACAACACCAAGAGAGCCCTGTTTGGGTGACTATAATGTGGACAGATAGGTGTTAAATATATAAAATAATAAAGATTATACAGCTGTGGTCAGTTCAGGAAAGGAAAGCTGACACAATTCCCTTCAGAAATAGTTTATTAGGAGAAATGGCCTCAAGACCATGATTGGGCCTTATGGTGCTATAAAGGAATATTATGATGTATTAAAAACAGCATAATAAGAATTTGAAGGGAAGGAGAGGCTTCCTCTTAAAACCTGGAGAAGAGCTTCATTGAGACTGATAATAAAGGTATAAGAGATGGTTCAATGATTAAGAGCACTGGCTGCTCTAGCAGAGGACTGGGGTTTGAGTCCGAGCACCCATATAGTGGGTAACAACCATCTGTAACTCCAGTTTCAGTGGATCTGATGCCCTCTTCTGGTCTCCACAGGCACTGCATGTGGTGCACTTACATATGTGCAGGCAAAACACTCATACACATAAAATAAAAAACAGTTAACTAAAAGAATGAGTGAAGGAGAGAAAGAGAGAGAGAGAGAGAGAGCATGAAAGGGATAAAAGGGAAGAGGAGGCTCAAAGAACCTCTTCAGAGAAAATATCCAGAGTAATCCAAAGAACAAAGGAACTATCAGACTTGTAAGTTTTGGGGGGCCTTGTGGGAAGTTTCACATCACATAATTTAGTTCTGCATAGCATCCATGAGAATGTACATGGAGGAGCCAGGTACCACACATTGAGAGCTGTCAAGTCTGTATCCCAAGAAAGCTGCATGGAGGGGTGGCCTGAGCTCTTCAGGCTCTGGGATCTGGCTTTTAAGAGTGACCTCTTTTTTTTTTAAGTCAATGATTTTTATTATCAGTTACATGCTTCATAGAAACAGGTGTTGGGAAATGGGTCAGGGAAGTAAAAAAAAAATCCAGGTTTGTACACATCACTCTATTTACACGCGATTGCAGGAATGTGCCCACATCAGGCGCAGCAGCTGCACTTGTCAGAAGCTTCTTTGCAGACACAGCCCTTGATGCACTTCACACAGCCCACATGGCAGCAGGAGCAGCAGCTCTCCTTGCAGGAGGTGCATCTGCACTTGCAGGAGCTGGTGCAGGAGCAGGGTCCATCTGTGGCGCAGGAGCAGTTGGGGGTCCATGGCAAGTTTAACCGGATGGTAGGAGTCACTAGACAGTGGCAGGCAGATGTCCTAGGAGGAGGCATGGTGAGTGAGCTCTGTCTTAAACAGGCAGGTTTGTGGTATAACAGTAGTGTCTTAACAGAAATAACTTTACCATTCTAGAAAGCTGTTGATACCAGGAAGTTACATATATCCAGGAAGAGGGAGAACGCAAGATATCTTTGCCTTCTCCGCATTGCTGGGACATAGTCTGCTCTAAAAAAAATAAAGTCTTTAAAACAGATATGCCAGTGATGCCAGGTTACAGAAAACTTACCATTTTCTCTCCTTCTGTATTATTTTACAATCTCATACATGCATACAAGGACTTCTTAGTCTTTTCCCTCCCCATTCTCCTCTCTCATTCCCTGCTCTCTCCCTCTGAAACTTATCTTCTTCCCAACAAGCCACTCCTATCTTCATGTATTTTTTTTTAACCCACTGAGTTTAATTAGGGTTGCTCTCATGAGCAGAGCAGGGGGCTATTGATTGGAACATAGGCAACTGACAGTGGCTGCAAAGCAAAGAAAATGACGACTCCTTCTCCAGCAACCGTCAGCTGCCTGGAGTCCCTCGGTGAAGGGTGGGGCCTCATGAACCTCTCCCCTGTGAATGATGAAATGCTGATGGGCCCAATCTTGGCAGGTCTTGTGCAGATAACCACAGCTGCAGTGAGTTGATGAGTGAAATGGCTGTGTCATGTTGGAAGGCAGCATTTCGGTGCACTGGTCTCCATCCTCAGGCTCGTTCATTCCTTTTGCTCCCTTTTCCATGATGCTCCTGGAGCCTTGGAGAAGTTGATGTAGATGTTTTGTTTAGAGCTGAGCACTTGACAGTTGTTTATTCTCAGAACTTTGGTCAGTTATGTATTTCTGCAATGAACATCCCTCACTGCAAAGAGAAGCTTCTCTGATGAAGGCTGAGAGCTGCACTAGTCCATGGGTATAAACACGGGTATTCAGAAGGGAGTTTGACACCTTGTGCACCTAGCAAAACAACTTCAGTTGGTTCCCCCAGGGCCTACGACTTCCCCAGTCACAGGTTCTTGATCAGGTTTACAGTGCCAGGCATGTGCTCCCTCCTGTGAAGTTGGTCACCAATCCAATCAGAAAGGAGTTGGTTATCCCCATAATAGTCATACCATGTTGCACACATGGGAACATCTTGGCAGGTGGGTTGTTATTGTAGCTCATGGGGTTCACAACTGGGTAGGACCATTAATGACTTCTCCCACAGCAGCTTAGGTAAGACCTTCCTGTACTGGGAAAGCTAGCCAGCAGGGATTCCAGCTCAGTTCAGCCTGATTTCTCTATTTCCTGCACCAAAATTATGCTGCGTCTTCAGCAACGGAGTATTATATCTAGATCTGGTGGGCAACCAAGGGAAATGGCAGTAGACTGAATTGTTTTGGAAGCCTTTGGTGCCTCCTTGACCAATGTTACCCTTTTCTCTTAATAATGTATTTTGAAGATCATTCCATGGTAGAATACACAGACTTGCCTTGTTCTTTATAATATCTACAGGAATTTTATAATATGACTGTACAGAGTCCCACTGATGTTTTTTAGGTGGCTTCTGGTGTGACAGCATCCTAAGCCACTGAGCAATGGACAACTTTGTGTTCACATCTTTGGGGTCTTTTGGGCAGAAAAGATAGACAGTGCTGAATCTCTGTCATTCTACAATCTCTGTTCGAATGTTTCACATTTATTTATTTATTTATTTATTTATTTATTTATTTATTTATTTA